TTATGAAGCAGAAACAAATATGAATGATTGAAATATACCCTCTAATATTTTATATTTAGCCGTAATACTGTCTCATATTGTACACAATGTATTGGAAATTTTAGGAAAATATTCAGTTAAACAATCCTCTAGAATGTACGGTAATAATTATGTGTACATTTGTTATCTATACTTAGGATTCCGAGTCTAATATATAGGTACATTATATATTTTTTTGGAAATTTTATTGAAATATTATTATCGATACAGACACCTAATCTATAGTTTTTATAACTTTTGTCTGTCTGGGCACTCATCACGAGAAAACCACGGGAAAGTTTTTTATGAAATTTGGCTTATCATTGTTTATTCTATAGAATAAACAATGAAAAAATCACCTACATAATATGATCACTAGGACCCGTCTTCGCTTGTAGGCTATAACATTAGGGATGTAATGAACGAGAATATAATGTAAAAAAAACCTATTCCGGAAATTTAACTCAATCAGTAAATCCATCTCGAACCCATGACCTTTGTCTTATTTGAGTATATCACTCAAATACTACATAATATTAGCTTTTATGTTAAATATATTTTTATTAAGACATATAAAATAGGATTTTGCAGTAAATTTAGTATACATTCCAACATCCTATTTCATCGCACCGTCCGTTCCTCCGCTGTCAGCCTTGTAATGAGATGGTCACGGTGAGCTGCACCCGACACATGACTGTTTCATTTGCTTCATAAAGGTATATATGTAAATATTTCTTTATTTAAAAGCATAAAACATATATTTTAAGCATTTATTATTATAACTTATATGATCTGCCTCTTGTACAGTTCACTTTATTATATATATGAGATTTCCATTTGCAGTGTCTGTACAAAATATAGTGTAAAAATGTAAAGTAAATCATAGCTCGACTATCCTCGCTCTAAGAAATAAATAATACAATTTATTTATATTTGATACAAATAAAAACGATTAAAACAGACTGAATATTTATTTTATTTATATTGGAGAAAATAATGGTTATGTGTATCGTCGTGCTGCTCATTCTTCAACATCCTTCTTCTTCTTTTATTCATCTTTCCGTCTATTCTATTTTTAAAATCATAACATACGTCTCCTTTTATCCTTAAAACACCATTTCACGCATACTTGTGTCGCAAATCCCACATAAATATAACAAATTATATTTTTATAATTTCAAAATTTCTATCGCCTTTTAGGCGACGTAGATGTGTGATGTATTAGATATATATATTTTGTCAACAAAATTAATGATAATTAATGAATAAATTAGTAAATAATTTAATTACGAAAACTCATATTATCGTAATCTGAGTTTGACATATAGAAAGTAATACCGAATTTTTTTTTAACTGTTTTGTAAAATAATTGTATCATTTTAATTATTTTTAAATCGTGGTTACATATTTTGGTTAAAATAATTAAGTTCTGAAGTAAGTTAATTTCAGTGAGTCACAGAAGCTTTTTTACTGTATATCTTGACGACGATACGAAAAGCTCGACAAATTTTTCCCATCAATTATAAATAGTAACATTGCATTAGAAATCTAGCTATTAAAGAGAATCCCCCGTAGCATTTCCTGCTTTGAGATTAGTAATGAGATGGCCACCACTGTGTTTCATTCGACACATGAATGTTTTGTTAGTCCGTTTCGAAAATGTACGTGAATACTGACAGAGTAGTGGTAATGACATCAGATTTTGTGGACTAAGTCGTAATGAACACTTTATCTTTCAATTTGAATACTGATAAACATGTACTTAGTTTAAAAAATTTAGTTTTAATCAGCGCAAATTTTCGAGTTATTTAGTCTAGTACTGCGAGTTTGAAAAAAAAACTTATATACGCACGTAAGTTATACTTCTTTGGTGTAACAGAACAAAAATAGCTAAAGGTTTCATCCCGTACGTCACGACTCTGTTTGTAAAAGGAATGCAGCTATCTTCATCATGTCGCTTTTTGGCTGTCGATGTGCGCGCACATCGTAAAAATTTTACTCTAATAATTTTTTCCAAACTTGCCAAAAGAATTATAACTTCAAAAAATGTATCTGCCAGATAAAACTTAAAAGTACTTTTAAGTTTGATATATATTTTTCTTAGCAAAATCCGATGAAAATCTGTAAATGAAATAAAATAGACGTATTCAAGTTTCAATAACAGTAAATTTAAATCTGAATGCACACCCACATTATTATTTTACATTTTCAGAGAACATTTTGTATTTTTTAAGGGGGAGGATAGAGCGTGGGCTAATATAACCTCCGACGCTCTCAAAAAGTTTGTAACGATAACTAGCGGCTCACCCTTCTCCGCTCGGTTTCGTCTCTACTTAAGTTTTAACGTTTAGTATAGATGTCTCAGACATGAGCCATTTTCCCGCAAAAATTATCCTATATGTTGACCCGGATAAGCCACTATCGTGATATCAAATTTCATCACAATCTCTCCAGTCATTATTCTGTGATGCGGTTACACACAGACAGACAAGCAGACAAACAAAATGGCCTCTGTATCGATAATAATGTCTATTTCAATAAGATATTCCAAAAAATATGTAATGTACAGATTCGGCTTAGTTACTATTTTATTATAGGCATGTATAGATAAAAATGTTCGTCATTTCAAGTCATTTGTTCGTTAGGTTTGATTTAGAATTATAATTTTATCATTTTCATAAATGTTAAATTTTATTATAAATGTATAATGAGATCTTTGAAAGTCTTAAAAAATATTTACGTCGCCTCAAACACGCAAGAGATATTATGACTCAATATTCTATTGGGACGACAAATTGATTGTACCGTTAAAACATCATTCTCAGGAGCCGATAACTTTACGTGCTCTCCGGCACGAGGATGTGCCGCCGCCAACTTTCTAACTCTCTAGCCTAAGCTGGGATTTGAACCCTGAAACATGCTATTTTTATTTTTTTTATTTTTATTTATTAGGGAAACAAACAGTACAAATTGATACAAATTAAAAAACAAAACATAAAATATAAATCATTGACCAATAAAGTATCCACAATTAAAAATTAGCCACAACACCATCAAGGCAGTTCAACTTAAATAACGTTATGTCCAAGCAAATATATATATATATATATATATATATATAAATAAAATATTCCACATATTATATTTAATGTACAAATTCGTTTATTTGTTATTATTCGAGTATACAATATATAATCCTGTTATTATACTAAAAATCCTTTGACATAAATTGCCTAACATTTACTAAAGATTTCTATTGATCGAGTATTCTTTATTCACGCAGAAACAAGTCCACCATTGTCGCCGTGTTTTGTGAAAGTCTGAAAAGTTTACGAGTAATAATATGTCTATAAATTTTATGAATACAATAATAATAAAAAACTATCAAATTTAATTCAGAAACTTATCGCAGTCTGTGTTACTCCAGGTCATAGTTTTTGTCATATATTTTTTACCCGACTGCGGCGAAGCCCAAATGAGGGTACTTGTATTTATGTATGTATGCATATCTGATCCTATGCTCCCTCGTAATTACTAAACCGCTTAATCGGTTTTGACGATTCATACGTCACTCGATTCGTCTTGATAACGCGATTGACATAGAGTTTGAATTATACTTTTCGGAGAATTAGTACTTACTATAAATGAATTAATAATAACTTGGTTTTTTATCAGATATTATCACGAAATTATCTCTCTCCATTATAATATGTAAAATATCTTTCGTAAGCAAAAGAAGGTTTAGCAGATAACTTATCTTTAACAACAAAATCATACTATTATATGTTCATTGTTCATATTATTTTAGTTATTACATACATATGTATAATATATTTGTACATAAATAAATATATGCTCTACATAGAGCTACGTCACGATATAAACGTCTGCTGCTACAAATTACGAACTCATTTCAACTGTCAGCTCTACGCGTAGCGACTTGCGTCAATTTGTTAGCATCTTGGAGACTCGAGCGCTACTAGAACTTTGTCGTCTTCACAAAAAAAAACTTTTACTGTATATTTTAAATCATATAAAGCAAACCGTGTTAGGTACATGTAGGAATAGTTTGATAACTATGACGATTCAGTATTTTACGGTGTATTAACAATTATTGTTAGAAATGTCTATAATTTTGTTCCATATTACACGTTTGGCTGTTTGTAGTGACTATAGTTGCTGTGCACGCGGTCGCGGGTTCGAGTCCCGCTGGGGGCATTATTTATGTGATGAGCACGAATGTTTGTACTCCAGCCGTGGGTGTATATATATTTTATTATATGTATGTATTTAAAGTTATATATGTATTGTGTATCAACTATCTGGTATCCTTAACACAAGCCTCGGAGCTTACCATGGAACTAGATAGTGCTGTGTGTTAATGTCCCAATATATTTATGTTTATCAACATATTTTCATTATAAATGAGAAATAGATACGATAGTATTTTATTGGTTGGTTCTTTTACGCAGCAAGCGCTTACAACCGATTGCAGTTATTTTTACTTAAAGATTATGGGCCGGAAAGGGACCCTGTAGATGCAATTTTTTTTTAATATTGTATGGTATATATATTATATGCAAATCAAACTCTAGAATATTAATAAAAATTAAACTATATTTGTAATTAATTAATAATTTAACTATATTTGTATACAAAACCCACACAAAAAAACAGCAACAAATCTAAAATTACTCAACAAATCTAAATATTATTCTAAATGTTATAATACGAAAATCCTTTTAGTAACAAAAAAAATCATATACAGGACAGACGGAGACAATATAACTTTGTACTGATAGATCTCTGCCTAAACACCACATTTCGCTTGATATCGCGAACGAAATTAATCCTCCTAACATCTGAAACTCGGCTCAAACGACTCGATAAACGCTTCCATACATAATCTCATCTCATGAATATTATTGGTAGATGGCATGCATTAATTACAATTACGCGGGTCAATTATTGCAAGTGTATTAAGGGCTATAACAGACTTGCAGATTGGATATATCACTAGGTATTTCAGGGTTTTGTTCACGTAAATACGCTTTGTGAATCGGTTTTAATGAATCTTTAGCATATACGAAAGAAAAATTATTCTTCAACGACACGTTTGGCTCAGTTTGTAGTGATCCTACTTGCTGTGCTAGCGGTCGCGTGTTCGAATCTTGCTGGGGGCATTCATTGAGCACGAATGTTCGTGCTCCTGTCATGGTTGTTTATATTTATAATATTTATGTATTTAAAGTTATATATGTGTAGTGTATCAACTATCTGGTTTTCATAACACAAGCCACGTAGCTTACCATGGAACTAGATGGTGCTGTGTGTTAATGTCGCAACAAATTTTATTTATTTATACTAGTGTTCGCCTAGAGGTCGAAATTGTGCCATAATTAATTATTAATCATTATAGAAAATTTAAGTAAAACATACATAACTAGAATTTATACCTATATAAAAAAAATGTATTGTATTCAGCCCTTTTTAACGTCCCACTGCTGGGCACGGGCCTCCCTTCAATGCGAGGGGGATCAGGCCATAGTCCACCACGCTGGCCAAGTGCGGGTTGGCGGACTTCACATGTCTTTCGAAAATTTGCTAGGTTTTCTCAGACATGCAGGTTTCCTCACGATGTTTTCCTTCACCGTAAGGCAAGTGGTAATCATGTTAGAAATGATTCGCACATGAAAATATCAGAGGTGCGAGAACTGGGATTTGAACCCGCTTCACTCGGTTTCCCAAGCGAGCGCGTTACCACTGGGCTACCACTGCCTGCAAAAAAAATGTATAATTTTTTTTATTGTTACCACCAAAGCTACTCTACATTTTAGTGCCTGGAAGTCGTTTTTTTTTAAGTTATATAATAATTGTCCAAAAAAAATCTACGTTAAAAGTTAAATCCCAAAGCCCACAAGATATACTAAAGCTATATCAATATTATATTTCCGTGTACCCAAAGCCAAAAAAACCCTTAAAAATACAGATACCGACAGGTATCATATGCCGATAAAATGTAATACAAATGATAAGTAGTTTTTCAAAGTTCCTTAAACATAAAGCAAAAGAATTTTCTAGAAAATACATTCTTAACAAAACTATCAATGGGATATACGAGTATTGTAAGCGTTCCAGCTCACTTCATTTCTCGCTCGGTCAATAGCTTCTTTTCCTTTTGACTTTACCGATATGTTAGTATTTGTTTCAATGGAAACTGCACTTTAGATAAATCTATCCATTTAACGTGGAATACGTTTCGTGGAAGTTAGTATTGATTCGTGAACATGCGTTGATTTTAGCTGGATATCTTACTGGAAAAAAATTTAAACTTAACCTAAACTAATAAATAAAATTATATCTTTCTTAGATTTACGCGAATGTTTGACATTATTAAATAAAACTATCTTTTCGGATTATTTCGCGGATTTATTCTCTCTCCCGTATAGTATCCCGTATAGTCTCTCCCGTGACCATGGATGCTGTAAAGCATTCGAAACGTCGGGAACCAAAAATCAAAATAAATCCGCGAAATAATCCGAAAAGATAGTTTTATTTAATAAAATTATATCTGTCTTTGATGGACTGACTTCAAAGTAACTAATAGCTATTGAGTAATTTTTGGTCGTTTATATGGAAATCTCAAATCTTTAGATATTCATCAACAGCTATTCATCAAAAAATAATTACGAAAAGTGGTTTATATTTGGCGAAATATCAAGTGATATACATAAATATAACACTCGTTCATGATCTATATATTTAATAAAATTATGAGTCGAATCTGTACATTAAATATTTTTGGGTAAATCTTATTGAAATAGTCATTATTACCGATACAGAGGCCGAATCAATAGTTTATTTTGAATTTTTGTCTTTCTGTCTGTCTGTCTGTGACCGGATCACGATAAACCACAAGACAGATTTTGATGTAATTTGGTATGATGATAGCAGGTTATCCGGATCAATAAATAAAATACTTTTTACTTCGGAAAATATCTCATCTCTAAGAATTTTATACTAAACGTTAAAACGTAACGAGGGACGAACCCGAGCGGACTGAGGGTGAATCGCTAGTTTGGTTATAATTTGCACGAGACCAAATCAAAAAAAATATACTAAGCCTATGAATAAAATATTTTTCTATCATTCTATATTGGCTGAGCTCCGAAGTGTATGACATAATAACTTAATACAGTAGTAAAAAAGATACAAACAGACGAACATAGAACCTCCTCCTTTTTAGAATTCGGTTAAAAAGGTATGAGTGTTATTCCTAGAAAATCTGTGAGTCTGTCTTGTCTTAAATTCGATATATTATATATTTGACGTTAATATTAATTAAATTAAACAAGATAAAATCGATTTCGAGATATAGCATGTGTATATTATATTTTTTTATACATTTTGTTTCAAATAACCAATTTCAAAATAAAGAATTTCTGTAAGCATTAAGAGTCCGAATAAAAACTCAAATCTCGAATTTAACCGTCCATTTTATGGGAAACGGTTTCAGTGAAGTGAATCTTCAAATCCAGGGTTTTTCTTTTTATATGGGATTATTTAAATAACTCTATATAATTCATTTTATTGTTGCCATAATTGAAAGTTACAAAATGAATTTCATATAAAAAAGCTTTAACTGATACATATATTTTATACAATAAAAGTGCTTAACTTATTGATATTTTAAAGCTGTTGAATATTTTTTATTAATATTTTTAGAGTACGATAAATCTATACTAATATTCTAAAGTTGAATAGATGGTTTTGTGTTGTTTGTTTAAATGCAGACGCTTGTCTCTGGAACTACCAATCAGATTTGAAGAAATGTTTTTGTATATTATAACCTATTTTTTGAAAAAATATATATATATATATATATATATATATATATATATATATATATATATATATATATATATATATATATATATATATATACTAACATCACCCTAAGACCTACGAGTATATGAGCGAAGTAATTAAACATAAACAAATTACGTGAACGGAGACGCGAACAAAAGCTAGTAAATAAAAGTTAGTATATATTTTAGAAGATGCCAGTACATATGTACGTATCCAGCGAGAGAACATCTATATTTTATAATATTATAATATCGTAAAAGAACTCAACAGTGTCTTAATTCACCACTCCTTCTTTACAAACTATAACAGAACTAAGCAAAAGATAAATTTGAAATCTTCCATTGTGTTAAAAACTTTCTATACAAAGAGGTAAAAATATTGTACAATAATTATTTAAATAAGCAGGACAACTCACAAAGGAGTCAGATGATTAAAACTTACTCAACTAATACTAAGTTAATCTTAAAAGTTTAACTGCAACTTACTTCAGGGGAAAATTATCATTTTTATCATATTGACAATTCTTTTTAATCTCTACCTTTCTTTAGTGACACACGGGAACTTAAGATGTCACTCTACAATCGTTAGAAAATAGAAAAATCTGATGTTAGAATGGCTTGTGCGTGAAATCCTGTTTTGTGGAAGTCCCACAACTAACGTAGTCTATGTTATGATTACTTAACAAAACTCTATTATTGATATGCTTACGACACACACTATATTCATTTAACTCTCATATTCCGGTGAGATGAGAACTCGTTACTGCCGGTAAAAGGTGCAGGATTGACAGCTTAACGTGCTCTCTAAAGCATGAAAGAGTGTATACACCGCTGGCTTCCCGCCTTCAAGTTACTAATGAGTATTTCGTGGCAGAATCTAGGAAATATCACAATATTAAGGGCAACAGTCCTATATGGAACTCAAACATTCGTTGTACGCTATTTAAATATTAGCCACAGTATCTGAGATTGTAATATTTGCCTTTTATGATCTGGACAAGGTAGATACTAGCTTATTTCTTAAGGCAGTCTTGGTCTACGCCAAAGTGAAGCAGACCAAATGAATTAGTGAAATTAAAAATTGATTATATAATACGGAATCATATTTTTACAAATATTGTAGATATTATTTTATTTTCAACAACAGCTGCCAGTGGTTACAGTGAATCTGACATAGTATTTCATTATTGCAATACCCTCACGGCACTTTGTTATTTATTACCCGTCTACGAAAAAGAGACGTGTAGCAAGACAAGTGGGTCCGACTGCATAATACTATGTTCCTACGAGAATGTGAGCTTGTTTTTATATTTTTATTTCGCATTTTACGCTGCCGTTTTTTTTTTTTTGGTTTTAGTAAATAATTTTTACGATAATTTTATGTTTTAGAGCATAATAAGAAATAGTACATTTTAAGAACCATCATAATTGTTATATTTTTAGCCAATATAAATTGGTGTTAGTTTAATAAGTCATTAGTCATTTCCAAAAGTGAATAAACAGTTTTTTTTTTTAAAGTATCATCACTAAGGAAGTCAAATATCAAGAACTTATACATAAAACTAGCAATCTATAATCACACACATACATAAATGAAGAAACGATGTTAGTAACTCACTCTGGAACGACTGAACGGATTTGGATGAAATCAAGTTCACACATAGGCAATGACCTAAAGTTAAACTTACGCTACTAATAACGCATATTGTCATAAGGTGGCGCTACCTATATATTAGGGTGGAGCGAATTTTTTTCTTAATTTGGGGGTACATTTTGTATCTTATGAAAAAAACAAAATTTGTAATACAAAAAAAAAGTTACATGTTATTTTTTTAACTTTTTTAAATTTGCAATAACGCAATATCATAGTGAAAGTTGGGTAGAAAATTACTATATTCGTCAATTGTTGAATGTTTTTCAAAGATAATCAGCTGAAAAAAAAAACATTCAAATCAAAAATTTAAATTAATTAAGTATTTATTTAAAAAATCTGTTGGCCACCTCAAAATGTTGAGTAAAAATGTTTTTTTTTTTAATTTTGTACTTTTTTTATAAGCAACAAATTCTATACCTAAGCTAAGAAAAAAAATTTTCGCTCCGCCCTACAGTACCTATATAAAATATTATAAACACATAGGCACCTGAGCAAAACTAGGGTAAGTAGCTAGTTATTAGTAAATTATAATACCATATATTCACCATGACAAAATGCTCTAGCTTTAATAATGCCGCAAAGAATGATTTACACGAAGTCCTCTAATTCGCTCATTTACTCTACGCTTTCAGTTGTCCTGGCGAAGTAATCTCGGCCCGGCTTTCTCTAATCCTGTATAATTGTACCGCTTATT